GAAACAGATAAAAAAAATAGATGAGCTCAGAAACATGCTGGAAGCCATGAATGCCTAGCATAAGAAAGAAATGGAAAACATGATTGCCCAACATAAGAAAGAAATGGAATCCATGAAACAGATTCAAACAGATATTCAGGAGATTAAAAACTCCACTGAAAGAATGGAGAGCAGATTAAGGGAATCTGAAGATAGAATACCACGTATAGAAGACAGGACTGCGGTTAAGGACCATGAAAATAGAGATTCTCTCGTAAGCGCAAGGTCCCGAGTTCCATCCCCAGTACCAAAAAAAAAAAAAAAAAAAAAAATAGAGATCTCTTCCAAATAGTAAGGGACCACAAGAAATCAATTCAGCAGCTGCTAGATGATGCAAAGAAGAACATAAGAATGATAGGAGTCCATGAAAAAACAGGAGAAAGTACAATTGACATAAAAAAAAAACCTGTTCACAGGGCCGGGGATTTAGCTCAGTGGTTCACACTCCAGCCTTGAAAGCCCAAGGACCCAAGTTCGAGCCGAGCCACGGTACCAAAAAACAAACAAAAAACTGTTCACAGAAGTAATAGTAGAAAACTTCCCAGACAGAGGCGGAGAATTGGACATACAGATAAGCGAGGCATATAGAACTCCAACTAGCCATGATCAAAAAAAAATCTACACTTAGGCATATAATAGTCAAGATCCCAGAAACCCAGCAGAAGAACAAAATCCTACAGGCACTTGGAGAAAAGAAACAAATCATCTACAAAGGAAACCCATCAGAATCATGGCAGACTTCTCAACACAAACCCTAAAATCAAGAAGAGCCTAGAGTGAAGTATTTCAAGCCCTAAAAGAAAATAACTTCCAACCTAGTCTGTTCTATCCTGCAAAATTATCTTTCAAAATCGATGGGGAAATTAGAAACTTCCACAACAATGAACACCTGAGAAATTTCATGAACACCAAACCAGCACTCCAAACAATTCTAAGAAATATCCTAGAAAAAGACAATGAAAGTCACAACTCCTTGATGCCCAACAGAGGGAAGCCACCAGGCAAGGTAAGAAACTAAAGGAAAAGGGGGGGAAAAACAAGAAATAAAAGAGCCAACAACAGCAAAACATCATGACAAGGATGAGTCAATATCTATCAATTATAACTATCAATGTTAATGCCCTCGATTCACCAATCAAAAGAAA